GCGCAAATGATTGAAGTTCACTTTATTCCACATTGCTTACGATGCAATACAGTTATATTATATAATTGAATTAGCTAGTGATAAACAATCATATTTCATATAACAGCCGAAGTAGAAAGTGCTTTCGTGTTGGCTGCGATTCTGTGTTTTTATTTAGAGCTGAGCTACAATGTTGTTTAATAACTACAAAAACTTTTCTCAGTAACTTGTAATAATTAATTAAAGTAATTTTGCTATTCAGTTTGTTTATTTTTTCTATGTACCACATGAGATTTTCCAAAATTAAGGACTTGACTTAAGCCTTTAATAAGCTGAATGGAAAACTCACCGTCACAAATCTAGCTAGGGGGTAAACACAACGGGAAAAGTGACAAGATAATTGTGTTCTTTATTACATTCTTTACTTTCCAAACGTCGGTTCACTGGTTAGATACAAAGTATTCAAACGAGACTGCAAAGCTCAAATTTGAATAATCATTTGAAGCTTCATTGCAGCCTTGATTGAATGCTTTGTGTTATTGACTAGTACTTCCGGCCATATACGAAAGGTGATAAATTGATACATTTTTCAGAAACTACGTTATAAYTTGATTTCAGTTATGGAAATCCTGTATGAAAGGCAAAACCCAAAATTTGAAATTCAGTATCCCAAAACTCAATCCAAATTCTATCTTATATTCTTTTGCCCAACGACATCACATTTAAAGGAAATAGAGTGTATCATAAATCAATAAGGTCAAAAGATTTATGAAATACACACCTAAGTGATCCAATTAATAAACGTGATGCGAGTAGATCACTGATTATTCTTAGAAAATCAACACCTTCAGCTGACAGTCCCCTTTGGAGGGACTACACAGGAAAAGACTTTCAGCGTGGCCGTAAGTGTCGAGATTTGATCGATAGCTCACGTGGTTTAAAAGTTAGGTGTCAGTCGTACCATAGTAAGTTTTACGTCTTGGATTTCAGCCTCGTAAGTTTTTTATGACTTCAGGGTAGGATGTGCGTGGTAAGGAGGCTCGTGCAGAGACATAAATATATATTTTTAGTGTAAAACAGACTATCAAAGGCGTATCCTACCTATTTTCTGTATTATGTAATAAATGTTACTGTATGTAAATATATCTGAGGTGCTCTTCATAGAAGGACCAGAGTCGTAGAAGGGAAAGTCTTGAACAAAATCATCGTGTGAATTCGTGTGAAACACGTGCGTCAACGGGCGGTTACCTTTTTGGGAAAGAAGAAAATGGCTGAGAAACAGCGTGACAAACTGTTACATCGATGTTACTTATTTTGATGCATGACGTTCATTATAAAACTTCCATTTCAAGCAAGTCAAAGGCTCAAAGGCAAAGGGAAATTCAAAATATCTTAGTAATCAACGTAATTTCGTAATGACTGTTTTTCGTTCTTTTCGTGCTTCCGAAATCATTCCAATTTTTGTAAATGTATTAAAAGTGCGCTTAATTGAAACACTTGACAAACAAGCAAAGAAAACGCAAACAGAAAAAAAGGAAAAGAGAGGTGCAAGAGAGAGAGAGAGGGAGAGAGAGGGAGAGAAACTGAAAAAGGTGAGGAGAGAAAGACAGATATATATGGCATTGACTGTGAAAGATTCGATTGCGTTCGCGATTCCGGCGTCGCGATTCCCAGCTGTGTCCCGTCCCCCGATCTTTAGGCACGTTTTACTTGGCATCTAAAACGTTAAATCACATGTACACGGTTTCCCATCTTATTTCCTGATCTTTTGAACAAGTGAAACATAATCATGAAACACGTATCACGCTCATCCGCTCGATCACCAACCATGTCATTCAATGGCTTCCATGTTTGGTTAAACAAGGTCAAGAGTGTAGGCGCCTCTCTCCACAGAGGAAACGTAATGTCCTCAGTTAATGACGTCACAGTGGAGTTCGCAAATGACTTGTGTATTACGATACACGTTGATAAATATTAAACAAGGATATGCCGAGTCCTAGTTAAGGCACTCTCGCCTGGAATCTCTTGGAGTTCAATTCTACCTTATTTTACTGGATCAGCCATTACATAATGGTTCATCAAGACTTTATTGTCTATTTTAGCTTCGTAGTGTTTTTATTAATTACAAGCTTTCCTTTCTTGAATACTGCGAAGGTAGGTGTTTTGTATTCGTAGCCACAAAACTCTAAAATAAGACAGTCCCTGAGAGCTAATTCAAATGCTTCTATTGATTGTGTTTCTAGGCCAAATGGAAAGCACAGACGCCAATACTCCATCAAGGTATTTAAAGCAAAACCTTTCTACAAAGATACATTACTAAAGTTATTTTACAGTCAATGCCGTATTAGAGAAATTCTATATCCTTCTTAAGGTTTATTATTACTTAGCTTTTTGGAATTTGATTACAAGCACAATAATAATTAGTCTAGCTTAGGCTATTTTATTGAATATGTTTAGCGGCTGTTGTGCTTGTCCGCGCTGCCGCCTTGCCGCTTTTAGTCTGTTCATCTTGTTTGCGTTTAACAAATATATCATTTTAGCAGCATAAATATTCAACCCTATACACTATATATCGTACATTTGTAGATAAAATCACATTATTCTGTACGATTCTCAAAATGTGTTATCCATGTCTTAAAAAGAGAACTATAGCACATTTTGTTGTATAAGTCAGACTGTGTGTTTTGGCAACAAATCTGAAGAAACAAAGAAACGTCTGTGTTGCTGACAAAATAACTTGATCTCAATTCCGTAACACAAGACCGCGCGATTGATGATTTAATGGATGTCGTGTTGATTTAACACAAGGACAAAGATTGTTAAATAAATGACTTGAATTGAAAGACATTAATCTAATGGTTCATAATAACGTAGAATGTTTCAGTTTATTATTGCTCGCGTCCTGTAGCGTTATGCCATTTTAATCTAACACTATGGAGCAACGATTGACCTACCTCGGAGTAATATATATCAAAAACGGCCAAGAAATTAAAATCTTTCTTATTTCGTGRGTTTGCAGTGGCTAACAAATCTGTGACCCTCATTCCATGATATAGTACGATCTACTTAGAAGCCCTCGATATAGGATTATTTCAATCCAATTCCAAAATTATGATGGAATTTAACAGTTACATATGTGAAGTTAAAATATCATTCGTTTTGGCTGTTTTACTAGTGTTTGTTGTCACAACTGGTTCTTCAGCTTTTTTTCTTTTTCGTTGTGGAGATAATTGATATTGTTCATGCTGCTGGTCCTAACCTCGGCCTTGACTTCCAACGCTGTGCTTGGATGTGACGAAACAACTTTATGTCTCGGCGGGATCATTTGTATTCATTAATGCCAACCCAACGACAGCCACTTCAATTTACTTCGAAATCATTAGAATCATATAAAAATAAAACTTAGATAGATACAATTAAATTTGTTAATTTGATYATGATATACTTTGAACATAAAATGAAGATCTTTCTAGATACAAGGAGTCTTTAGGTGGTCACAGCTAAGTGTACGTCATTATTATTTTATTATTAAATCCGCCTACTTCTATAATTAAATCTGTCGTCGACGAACTGTCGAGGAAATCGAATCGCCTGTAAGTCATAAGTAAGTAGATTCTATCGAGTAATGGTACTTTTTAAAACGTAATACAATGAACAAAAAGAAAACGAACGTAAAAGCAAACAAACAGATAAACAAACAAATAATTAAACAAACAAACAAACAAATAAATGAATGAATAAATAAATAAATAAATAAACTAACAAAAATAAGCAAACAAACACCCCCAGACACAACACAAACACATTAACGAGCAAAGCAACAAAAGGAAAGAAAAATGAAAATTACCTCACATTTAGAGCATCGACGATCACTGACGTCATTTTATTAAATACAATGCAAAGTTTGATCTCAGATATCTTGCAACCAAAAACTTGCTTTGCTATTAGAATATTCTGGAGGAGTGAGCAGCGTAGGTGCTGATTCACGTAGCAATGAAACCCCATGATATCAAAACAATACTACAGAAGATACCTTTCCTCTCAAAAGGTCAATCCTATAACACTGGTTAGCCCTTCTCTTGGTATTATCCTCACATAGCAAGCCGTTCATGAAAAAAATGCGAATTAAGCGTTCTTACAGTGCTTGGCAGACGCAGTTTTATATTTTTGCTGTATCATTGTATTATTTCCAGCGTATTAAAAAAAATGCAAAGTGCATTTCACAGATAATATAGTATTTATATATATCTATTTAAATTTATCTCATGTAATGTGCGTCCTCAAGTGAAGTGCATAGCTTGGGACATATATATAATTTATCAAACTCATTAATAATTCATGAGGAAAACACAATAGAATGTTGTAAATCTATACAAAACTGTGTTCATTTGTATAAACTTTAAGTTGGATTTTCTTGGCCAAATTCACTTTAATTTTGAAAATTTTAGTGAAACACAAAGGAACTAACCTAGACGTTTGATAAGTCGTATACAGTATTCGTGTCCGTGTTGTATCAGATATACAATCACTCGGCTACGCCTCCTGGTTGTGTATCTGATACAACACGGCCACTCATACTGTATATATTACATACACTTATATAAGTTTCTTTTAGCTATTCAGACTTAATAGAGTTGTAAATCAAGAAGTTTCCTTAAGCGCAGTCGACTGCGATAATGTCAGTGCATGCATGCACAATGCAGCATTTTCAATACATTAATTTCAACATTCTTTGGCGTAGACTCAAATTTTCTGATGTGTGAAATGATGCACATTTGACCCTAGAATCAAGCACGTAGTACAACGTTACTAGATGCGTTCTTCTTTAAACCAAATGAACATTTTCAGCTATTTCTGAGTTCGATAAATGATAAATGTATTTGAATTTCATTATCTTCTCCAAATGGTATATAAACACTGGCCACTTTGCGGTGTCAGTCAGAACGAATTCTTTGAAAAACTTGTAATTCACCTGATGAACATTCAAAATGAGACGGCAAATAATCACGTGAAGTGAAACCAAGAAATTAAATTTGTTGACAAAAAGAGATAAAATGGAATATTTTGCATAGCCTTTGGGCTGATGTAATTCAGGACACGGCTAACTCAGAGATTGAATCCAGAAATAACCTCTGGGCTGATCTAAGTCAGGGCATGGCTAACTCACAGATTGAACCCTGAAAAAACCTCTGGACTGATCAAAGTCAGGGCTGCTAACTCACACGGCAAATCGAACCCAGCAGTATATCATTTCTGCTTAGTATTATTTTTGTTTACTTTTCAGAACACCTGCTTCGTAATCTACCAGACTGTGAAATAGGATACCCAACAGAAACCAATCAAGATGGTCGGTACATTCGACACGTGACTTCCCCGGACCATCAAAGGCGCAAGCGCAGAAGTATCGACAGAACAGACACACCTATTTACTATAACATTACTTATCGAGGAACAACTTATAGTGCTAAGTTGCGACTAAATGAGGAACTTTTGAGTTCGGGATTTGTTGTTGAGACACACAAGAAAGGAGGAAGAGTAGAAAAGACAAGGCTCGTGGATAACTGTTACCTGATTGGAGAGACTTCAGTGTACAACCTTAGCGTTGCTTTGAGCGACTGCGATGGTCTGGTATGTTGATAAAACATTCTCTATATTGTTTGTTTTTTAATTGATAAACGCTCCAGTTTTGAGTTTCCATTTTTAAAAAACTCATTAATAATTCATGAAGGAAACACAATAGAAATCATGACCGTGAAGGAGGTCTTATATCTGATATAGATTCGTCTTCATTTGAATAAACTTTAACTTGGATTTTCTCTATCAAACTTGGTTCATTTCATAAAGAATTCGGTACAATATGAGAACTTACATCGTGAGTTTTTTAAGCCGTTTAATAAACTCGCAGATCGTGTTTTATCGGGTCTAAAACCACTCGGCTACGTCTCGTGTTTTATACCCGATAAAACACTCCTGCTCGTTTATTTAACAGTACATAAGCCCTTTTCCAAGGGACGTTGAGCTGCATTCCGAATTGCTACAAGAGGTCTATTCCTCGGTTCCTCATAATTAACTAATTATCCATGAAATCGATATTAGACTAATACACTTTAATGAGTAGACTCTAATTCCATTTTATTTCTTTTGTGTCTATTTGATTATTACTAGTTGAGTAATATTTTTATTTCACGGGTTAAATACTGTTATATTAATTAATTAGTTATCCGGCAAAGCAGTGGCATTGAAGATGGTGCCACATCCTTAGTGGATCTTTAACGTCCACCTAATACAGCGATATTACATCGAGGCAGACGGCATACAAGGCCTGATGTTTAGTGTCCTTATCTAAGCGGACTGGAATCATTTTCTATCACACAACAAATGCTTTCATTATTTCGATGCTTTTGTCATTAGTTGAATATTAAATCAATGATACAATTACGATAATGACTGATGGTACATAACACCCTTTCTAAATAGTTATAATAATCAAAGGCGCTTTTTATGCAATGTACAATCATGAGCGATTGGTAGTATGAGGTGTAGGAAATGAGGTGGTCACTGCCAGGGTTTCCTCACATCGTCAGTTCATCGGTACGTTTACGTCCCTGCGATATTTGTTAGTATTGGTAATCTGATTCCTTGAAAGTCTAACCACGTAGATGTAATTACAAAGGCACCACTTTCTCCGCTTCAGTTATTCTAAGACTGAGAGTTGGCACGGCCGGGACACGAACCATTTTTAATGGTCCGTTTTCAGGTGTAATTTGAAAGCAAGGCTAACATGGAAATACACACAAAAAGGGCACAAATTAAATCGAGAAAAAGTGTGATTTCTTTTTCATTTTCATGTTATCCTCACATTTCATCATCAAGTATCTACCTTGGGTTCCAGTGCTTCTCGGTCGCAGGTATCGTTATTACAAGATAATCTATTATCTGAAGTATATTATATTGTGGCATCAATTATGACGTCACATAGTGTTCTTAGATTCGCATTTCAAATTAAAATTTGATTTGGTGAAGGTCAATTTTTTTAGCCAACTAGGCTTATTGGTCGTTCCTTATATGGGACCCTTTAAATACAGTGACGTCATTCAAAACATAACTTAAGTCACAATGTGTTGAATTCTGACGTCATATTATTCCTCATCACTCTTTTATATTTACATTCACAACGAAAGGCATCAGCAAAGGCTCTTCTGAATTTAAGGCTGAAAAAGTTATAAATGATTGGATTGCACGCACTTGAAGCGATTGCAAAGACGGTAAGGACTGAATTTGCATCTGAGATTTCTTCACTGGCGTTACTCATTTGCTCGCTGGGGAAAATGATGACAAGAATGAAAACATTAAGTGGTAACATACAAATCAGAAAGACGATGATCACTGTTAACATCATGAACGTGGTCTTGCGGTTTTTTCTTGATACAGCGCTCGACCCTTCCTGTTCTGGCTGGCCGTCTTTATTTGCCCGTCCTTGACTTGATCTGAACGTCTCCCTTAATGCTCCATCAGTTTTTCTTAGCCTTGCTATGATGGCGCTATAGGCAAATGATATGATGGTTATTGGAACTGCAAAAAATATTAAGAATATTGCCACACTGTAGATTTGATGGCCTAACTGGCCACCAAGTTTGCTCCAATCTTGACCACAAACAATCATATTTGTAAGGTGTGGGTAGCGAATGAGAACACGTGAAGGAATCTGAGGTGATGCAACCATGACTGATATAACCCAAATCAGAGCGATAAGACAAGACGTTCGTCTGACTGTGTGTTGAAGTTTAGCACGAAACGGGTGCAAAACTGCATAATACCTACAAAAAACATTAAAGAAACTGATAAATATTCCATCGTATATCAAAATAAAAGTTGCATTTTATTTTTTAAGAAAAATATGACCATTTTGGGTTTTCAAGACAGTCCTTGTCGACTTTTTGATAAGCGAGGATTTCCCCTGCTGCACTCGGCAAATAGAGGGCTTACAATTGACTTTAAGGTGACTGACTTCTTAAGTATGTAATTATTAGAAAACTTTCTTAGAACAATATTTTATACATAATTTACTATGAAATCCAAAAACGAAAAGGATAATAGAATACTCCCAGCTCGTTTCCGAGATACTGAATTTGAATTACCATCTTGACAAGTTTTTGTAAGAAAAAATGGCGAAAACCAAGCTTCGTACAAAAATATTAATTTATTATTAACTAAAAAGGCTACGGAATTAATTTTTTTAAAACGTCTACTTCGAAAAATTGTCATTGATCAACCGGATTGAAATACTTGAAGAAAAGTCGGAAATAAGCTCAACATTTAACGTGTTTGTTTAATGAACCGAAAATCCTACTCAAACAATAACGCCAACATACAACGTTTTATTTATATAAGTTCTAGTAATAAGCCTGAAGCGAGATGACGTTT